ACGTACAGGAGTACACACACACAGACATACCGAGACGATAACTGCCCAAGTCGGCAGAGTTTTTTTTTTTGTGCTTGCGTCTGCTGACGGGGCCCCTATCCTAATTCCCCTGCTGCAATGGCTTCCTTGTGTCCTTGAAGCCGTATATGTCGGCGAAGTGCACGTCCAGCCTGCTGACCATGTCTTCCAGCCCCATCTCCTTGAAAAAGAAGTCCTTCATCCTGCCGTCTGGCCCCACGAGGTAGATGGCACTACTGTGGTCGAACTGGTACGTCTCGTCGAGCACAATTTCGGGGATCCCCTTCGCCTCGCGTATCGCCCGCTCCTCCTCTGTCTCTTCGACGGAGGAGTAGTACACGCGCCACGCCTGCGCGGCCTGCCGCACCTCCGCCGTGTTGCCGCACAGCGCCACCACGCGAGGGTCGAACTGCGACACGAACGCCTGCAGCACCTCCGGTGTGTCACGGAAAGAGTCGATACTCAGAAAGACGCCCTGCAGTTTCGCCGCCTCCTCCGCCGCGGCGCCCGTCATAGTGGTGTCACACGTCTTCAGAACGTCCGCGATGAAGCGCAGCGTCGTCGGGCACACCTCTGCGCACTTGGAGAAGCCGAAGTACAGCAGCGTCCAGCGGTCGCGGAAGAGCTCTTCGTCTGTGACGTAGGCACCTGTGCGGCTCTCGCGCAGACGGAACGGTCCACCCAGCTGCTGCTTGGGCGCCATTGTGACAGACTGCATGGACTGAAACTCCGGTGCGGTATCCGCTGCTTCTACTACACCAGCCTCCTTTAGCTTGTCGTACCAGTTCAACAGCGACACAGAGAGCGGGAACACGGCGCAGCCGAGGCAGAGACCCCAGAGCTCGGCACGGCTGCGTGGCCCGCGGCGCAGCACCGAGAAGAATCCACGCTGTTCCTGCCTTTGCTCGCTGGAGGACACAAGACGGGCAGAACCGCATACTCGCAGCGGGAGTACTCTGCGGTGGGCCGCCAGTCGCATCGGTTGCCTTCACCCACAGTCTGGCCGCCAGCGGCACCCAAAATAACAACAAGAAATAAAAGGACAGTGGGGAACACGAAGCACGAATAATGATTATATACTACCAAACAACCACAGATGAGCCCAATGTGCACATAATAACGGCCCACACACACAGAAAAACAAAAGGGAGACAATCTGCAAAAGACAACAGCACAATCACCCGCATAGAGCCAGTTTTGCTCGCGATGACGGAGCCCATCGAGGGCCGGGGATCACCCCTGCCGGAGCTGATCCCTCGCTTACACCGCGGCGTCACTCGGCCGAGACATCCTGCGCGCGGACTCTCCTCACTTCTAAACACAACAGCAACAAAAAGTAAAAAAAAACTCCACTCATAACTTCTCCACTCATCATCATCATCGTCGTCGTCATAAAAACCCTCTTACAGATTCTTCTCCCTGCTGCGCATCAGGTACGGCTCAAAACACACTGGTAAGCGGGCCAGACAGCACATCAGAGGCGTGGGTGCGGTGAGGCGAGGGAGTTCCAGTCGTTTACATTGACGCATGGAGCGGGAGGACGCAAACAGAAAAATCAAGAACGCACACGCCCACACCATGTCCGTCAGCGGTACTGCTGTCACCTCCCCACCTCTGAAAAAATAATAATTCAACTGCTTAAAAAAACGCACACCCTCTTTCAAAAGAAGAGTCGTGATGGGAGGAGGGAACACCCAGATGATTCACCTCTTCCTCTGTATCACCTAAAACGCCTCTGGAACCTTGGCGCGAATCAGTGAGGCGCGGCGTACTCAACACCCTCTCGCAAGTGCGGCAGCCGTAGCGCCTTCAGGCGGGCTTCCCAAAGTCGCTCGGTCAAGGCACAAAACGTCACGGCGTCAAGCTCCCCAGGGAATTTCATAATCGCATCGTACTCGTGCTGCAACAGCAGTCCTTCGCTGTCAGCGTCCGTTGGTTTTCTCTGCGACGCTGATGGTGGCATCAGCGTCAATTTATGCATGTAGACAAACTGATAGATTTGTTTTGGAGGCCATGTAAACACCTGCAGCGCGTTTGGCCTGACAATCGGATTCGGTATGCCTGAGACGTACGGCGGCCCCTTCTCTGCTGTCGGGAGAGCCACTGAAGGCAGGAGTGAAACAATGCCCCGCAGCGGCAGCACCTCTCGAATGGCCGTCTCCTCATCATCCCACTCCTTGTCCTCCTCGATTTCTTCAGCATACTCCCTGCCTCTCTTGTTGCCGCTTGTGCTATCGCCGTCACCATTGATGACTTCTTGCCGGCTTCTGAAGTAGAGGCCCTGCGTCGTTACCCACAGTACGCCTGGCTGCGGCTGCCCGTACGAGAGCAGCGCACACGAGATGCTCGCGACGACACTGCCGTTCAGAGCCTCGAGTTGTCGCGAGAAACAACGTGCAAAGGCCAGCTGAGACCACTTGACGCGCCGCTGTTCCAGCGTGCCCCATACTGTGTCCCACAAACCCTTCATTATACCCGACGATGTGCACGCCTTCGCGGCTGAGGCGGAAATGAGCATGGCGAACAGTGTTTGGTAGCCGAAGGGGTGTGGAGCCACTGTGTAGGTGAGAGTGGCGGCGTTGCTCGATGTCGCAGCCGGGGAGCCGAGATCCGCTGACGCTGTCTCCATGTGGCACAACCGCGACAGACCTTTTTTTTCTGGGGAAGTTTGTGTGTTTGTGCGTCAGAGAAGAGGAGAGAAATGTGAGACCGTGTGACATGTATGTGAAGATAGAAAACAGACGCACACCCACACACACACAGAGGCGCTTCGGCAGACTCTTTTGCTTTCTTCTTCTTCTTCTTTCACACGCACATTCAAAACATCGACTCCTCTTTCTTTTTTCTTTTTTCCTTTTCTTCCAGTCTTCCTAGTTGTCTTTCTTTCGCCATAGGCCTAAAGGAAAGAGAACCATATACCTTTCATCGTTTCCCTCAGTCTCTTCTTATCGACAGAGCAGCAGCAACAAGGGGCGCCAAGCACCTCCCATTCCCCTTTACACACATACACACACACACACACATACAGACATTTATATATATATATATATCTGGAGAAAGCGAGCGCACATTTACAGATAATAACACCGATGACTGTATCTCAGTTGCCGTGGGCTCCAACAGATTCGAGTGCCTGAGCAAATGAAAGGGATGTAACAACCTGCTTGCCGTGGAATCCTTTCTCCGAAGCCATCTCAAGCACGAGCAGTAGCTGCTTAATAGGCATCATCGCCGGAACAAGCTCCACGCAGTGACGCGAATCCTCCTGGGACGCAAACGGAAGCCCTAGTTCGTCCGTAATCTGCTGCAACGCCTGCGGCGGCACTGTTGGGATCTGTAGCTTCACAGAGAAGCACGAGACTACCTCGAGACTGTCTAGAACATCGTATTGCGCTGTTGTGCCCACGACGAGCAGTTTCCTCCCTTCGGTTGGCGGTCGCTTGATGAGTACGAGCATCGCCTGCAGAATAGCATTACTATAGCGTCCACCGAGATGTGAAAACTCTATTATACGTTCAAGGTCGTCAAGTATAATGACACTCGCGGGTGACTTGTAGGCGTCTTCAAACGCCTTGCGGATGATATTTACCTTCTGCATCTCACCGTAGCCAACCATATCCTCGCTGGAGATAACCTTTACATACGGGAAGTCTGCCTTCTCTGCGAGGTACGCCGCCACTGCTGACTTTCCAGAACCCGGCAAACCCTCAATGAGCACCGCAAGTGAGTTGATTCGTTTGCCCTCACCCTTGAGTTGCTCAACGTAGCGGCTGCAGCGGTCCTCCACCACCTCCCACGGCTTGCCGTAGTGGATGATGCCACCGCGCTTAAGGTTACTACACTCCTCCTTTGCCTGTCCAAACGCCGGCTGTACCTCTGCCACGGCCGCGAGGAAGTCATGGCGTGTCACGAAGACATCGCGCGCGTCAATAAGCTCCGTTGGGTGGTCAAGGTCGATGTGGCGGTTGAACGCGTTGGATGTGGCGGAGCGCACAACGCCCTCAATCTCCGCGCCTGAGTAGTTCTTAGTCAGCGCCGCGAGCTCGCCGAGATCGACGTCTTTTCCTAGCACGCCATTCTCCCGCATGCCACGGGTGTGAATGCGGAAGATCTCCGCACGGCCCTCTTCATTCGGCAGGCCAATCTCGACGTGTACCTCGAAGCGGCCGGGGCGCAGAATCGCCTCGTCGATGAGGTCGAGGCGGTTTGTCATGCCGATGAGAAGAACGTTGTTGAGTGCATTTACGCCGTCGATCTTGGACAGAAGTTGGTTCACGACGTTGTCGTTCACGCCAGTGGAGTCCCGCACAGCACCACGCTGCTTGCAGATGGCATCAAACTCGTCAAAGATGATGAGGTGCAGCTGCGACTGGTCGCCCTTCGTGGCGGCCTCTGCCTCCGCGTCCAGAAAAAGTTTCCGCACATTTTCCTCTGTCCCACCAACAAACTTGTTGAATACCTCCGGCCCATTGACGATTTTTGGCGGGCGGCAGTTGAGGATCTCGCCAATCTTGCGCGCAATAAGTGTCTTGCCTGTGCCAGGCGGCCCGAACAACAGGACACCCTTGACGTGCTTCACGCCCAACTTCTTCACATACGAGGCAGGAAAGAGACGGCTCGCAAAGGCGCGACGGAACACCTGCGCAAACTCATTCCGCAGACCACCGATGCCGAGGCTCTCGAGGTTGAAATTTTGCATCAACTGTGGTTGTTGGGCATCCAGCTGGTTGTCGGGCACATTTCCAAGCGTAATCTCACTCTTTTCATTCACGAGAACTATCAGATTGGTGGTACTGGAAAGAAAGCCAACGGCGGCCTCTCCATCGCACTTCAACGCAGTCACGGTTCCAATAAGTCGCATGCCGCTGTCCGGCACGACGGCCAACATTTGCGACTCACGGAAGCACTGACCCCCAAACTGCATGAGGAAATAGGCGATGAACTCCATGCAGTCGAGTATGCCGCCCTTTTTAGACGCTATAATGTGCTCCACCTGCACGCTCATGGTCGCAATGGCGGGAAGATGCTGTGGAGGATTCTGCAGCGTTACCGTGCTGCCCGCCGTTGTTGAGAGACCGAGGAGGCGGCGCTGGATACTGTTCATCGCAATCTGCCCTTCCGCAATGGCGGCATTAGAGGCGACACTGAAGACAAAGCCGTTGATGACGACACGACCAGATTCGCCGACAAAGCGCTTGGCGTCGCGCGGGTTGAGGTAGAGCAGGTTGGTACGTGTATCCTCGTCCGTGAGGACGGAGCGTACAATGAACGTAGCTGACATGAATAATAAGTCGCACGAGGCCTACACGTTTTAGTACTTGCTTCACTTATCTCCCTTTATGGCACTAAGAGGAATGACCCCCCAACAACAACAAAAGCAAAAACACTGTCTTTGCAACCAAAACAACAACAACAACAACAGCAGCAGCAGCATCAGCCACAAGAGAAGTCTACCTTGATGATGCAGGAGTGTGCTCTTTCTTTTAAGGGTTTCTCACGCCCATGGTGGCGGTCGGTCGAGCCTCGCCTGCTCCCACGCGCTCAACAGTTCATCCAAAGCACGTTGCTGTGCCCCACCCCCCGCTGCTGTTTCCACGTCCAAAAACAGCGCGCGATACTGCGTGTACGACTGCGGTGTCGGACAGAGCCGCTGAAAGTGTGTGCACCGCAGGTACTCCTCTTCTGCCGTGAGGCACGCCTCCAGTTCAGCTGCATTTGTCAGGGCGTCGAGAAACGGGTGACCGTACGAAAAGGCAGGCTCGTCCAATTTTTGTTTCATGCACGATATTGGCACTGCACGGCTTGCCCCAGGCTTCTTGGCCGTAGCAGGCGCTGTGATACCAACGAGCGTGAGCATGTCCGCAATGAAGTTGCCCTTTACACATTGGTCTAGAAGCGAGTAGTGCGTGCTCAAAGACGGCATGATGTTCACCTCCATCAAGACCGGCATCGGCGTCGGCGCGTCTGCTGCAAGTGGACGCCGCAAAAGCACATCCACGCCGTACACCTCAAAACAACAGCAGCCGATGTCACGGTTGCCCAACGCGTCAATCTCCACCACAACGTGCGGCGCCACTGCAAGTAGCACCTTCACAAGAAGGTCACGCACCTGCGCCATTGCTCCATCCCAGTCGAAGCCGTGCCTAAGAAAATGTGCCTTTAGTGCGGCGAGAGTCCACTTAGAGGCGCTTGCTGCACCTTCTACATCGTTCGCTTCGTCGGGCGGGACAAAATCCTCCGATTTCTTATTAATGGTAAAGTTAGTAAGATGTGCGGTGAGTGCATCGGCGGATCCAACCGCCGCTCCCTTCGGCGCAGTGGGGTAAGGCGAGGTGGCAAAGCGCACAAGTCCTTCATCGTACAAGTAGGCACGCAGTGGAAAGTACGACGTCACCACAACATACAGCCGGAGATCGAACTTGTACCCGTCAACAAGCAACGGGTCGTCTACGTAGCGTTGCACAAGAAAGCGACGGGGGCGAACAGTACCACTACTGCTACTGCTGCTGTTCTCATTATTACTCTTGGCGTCACAGCTGCTGAACGCATCAGCTTGCTGCGTTGTGTACGGAAGCCTTGGGTGTTCACTGCCCTCGAACAAGTAGATACCACGACCACAAGCACTTGTCGTTGGTTTGACGATAAACGTATGGCCACGCTCCTCTTTTGAGCGAAGCACGGAAAGAAGCGCCCCTTGTTCCTCCGGCAGCACCCAGCCCTCAGGGAAGAAATCGCCGAAACCCACATCATTATCCCCGCCGTTGCCGTTTCTGCACTGTTCACGCCAATGTGCACGGGCTGCCACGAGATGCTTATGCAGCTCGTCCTTCTTCCCGATACGCCATGTGCCGGGGAAGTGATTAACACGCTGGAACGCCTTTAGTCGTGCAAAGTCGCTGCGCACGGGACGCTTACACCACTTCATAGACCACGACGTCGACAGGAGACTCGTTTCCTCCGTGAATCCAGCCCGCTCCAGTGTGCACATGACACCTGTGAAGCGCACGGCACCAGTGGGCATTGTGAAGCGAAGGGAAGCGTACGGCCCGGCACGTGGAATGGACTCCTGAGCGCCCGAGTTAGAACGCATCACAAGGGGCAGTGACGCAGGTTCCACGTATGCCCCTGTGTCACCGCTGCATTCGTCCCCGTCCCACGGGCGGTCGAGCGGCAGAAACACAATTGTCGGTGGTCTTCCACGAAATGGACTCACGTTGACCGTGACACATGTGTCTGCTGCAGCACTGCGTGCCACAGTGTGACGCACGGTTGTTGTGTGCCAGACCGGCGTAATGTTCTCGTCGAAGCGGCGCACAGGTGGTGCGGCAACATGGACTGCGCCACGGGCAATACATTGGTTGCGTTGCCTCTGGGCCTCGTGGAGTCGCCGCACCACGTCCTCCTCCTCCTCCTCCTCCGCACCGCACGCCATTAGACCCAATAAAGTGGTGAAGGATGGAACCCCGCCTTTTACGCCGGTGCGGAAGCCCCCCCAAAATAAACGGAAATAAGTAATGAGACGAAAGAAGAAAGTGGGGAAGAAAGAACAAGAAAAAAAGATGTTATTCGTAGCTTTTTTAAACAAAAAAATCGCCTTTGCAAATCCTCTTCCCCACACACCTCCCCACCTCCAATATTAACAATGGTACAAAAAACTCACACTTTCCCAAGCAGTGGAGTTCCCACACCATAAAAATTGTTAATCCGTTTTGTAAACACTTATTCGAGGTAGTCACCGTCATCATCATCACGATGATCGTAATCATCTCTTATCTGCAGAACGTCCTCCATAACTTCACGCCACTCATCTCCCTCGATGCTGTATGCCTCCTCGTAGAGGTGGCGACGATGTCGCAGCACCGTCTGCGCTTCTGCGGTGATGCTCTGCAGCATCGGCGCCGAACCGTACGTGGACACAATGTGGGCGCCAACGTCAATGCCCTCCAGCACCCCAGAGGCCAATATCTCTTTCGGCACCACAAAATCCTGCGGGAACGTAGATGAAATGGGGTAGCTGTTGCTTGTCACAAGGGGCAGGTAATTTGCCGTCCGCAGCGGCAGGCCATAGCGCAGAAGCGCTTCCTGCCGCGGGTACGTCAGGTCAAGCAGATTGCCGGCGCCGCGCAGCGTAACAGCATGGCCCAACACACGTCCCGCCTCGGTTTGAGGATCTAGAGTCGTGGCGTGAGTCAGTGGGGCGAAGTACCCAGTTTTTGCGGCAGACTGAGGTAGGGAAAACAACGGGTTTCGCTCCAGGAACTCCCATAGATCGTTGCGGGGCGAGTTCATGTTGTACACTGGCAGCGGGATCGCCGCAAGCGCTGCAGATACGCGCAGACTGCGGGTGGGCCGCACTGCCTCTTTCCAGTCCTGCAAGTAAAAAGCGGGCCCGCTCGTATTGGTGCCCAAACTACCATTATCGCGAGCACCGTAGAGGGCGCTGTCGGCGACCGCAGCAATTAGCTGCGCCGTGGCGGTGTCATTTTGAATCCAAGCAGGCACTTGAGCCTTTTCCGCCGCTCCTGCTTCTCCTGCTGGTGGTGGTTGTGCAAACGACGCCTGCCACTGCGCCAACTCGAGCGGCACATAGACAGCACTGTCGTGCCTCGTCATGTGCGACGTGGCAAGAAGGCGATTCAGACACATTTCATCCTTACGTCTGCTGGCAAAATCAACCTCACTCTCCCGCATCAACACCTCCTCGGGCAGCGGCTGAAAGGGGGTGAATAGCACCGCCGGCACCTTAGGCCCGGCGTCTTCCCAGAACTCCTGCATGATATTGCACGCCGCGCCTCCAAATGCGGAGTCGCCGTCAACGAAGCACTGCACGCCTTGCAGCAAGTCCGCATCCTCTAGCTGCCGCCGCAGACTCTCCGTGACACCTGCGATGTCGTTGCTCATAGAGGGGCGCAGTTGAGCCATACCAAAGCCGAAGCTGTGCAGAAGAGGCACGTCACCTGAACCCCCGCCCAGCGCATGGAGAGGATGCAGCACATGGACGCTGTCGTTACGCACCCCACTGCGAATGTAGCGCCACCACGGCACCAGCTCATCCTTCTCCTGGAAGAGCTCGTGCTTTATAGCTTTCAGCGACATTTGCACGTCGTTGTCTCCGTTGGGGTCATGATACACCGTGCGTGAGTACCCGTTTTCGGCACTCATTTCCTCCTCCTCGTCATCGTTGTGGTCGTGCAAGGCAGCGGAGGACGATGATGATGACGACGACTCCCACTGCGCTGTGTGGTCACCCGTCGCGAACACACGTGCGTCACTCGCCCCCTCCTCTTCTTCCTCATTGTCGCACTTCCCGTTTCTGCTGGCGGTGCACCGGACGCGCTTGAGTCGCGTGGCGTGCGGGGCGTCGAGGAGGACGAGCCGCGGCACCCGCACCGTCGCCCCCGTGCGTTGCTGCTGCTGCAGCGATTCTCCGCCTTGCACGGCATCGATGCGGCGCTCGCCGTACAACGTTTGCCGTGTCGTGTCGTAGCGCGTAGTGCCGTTCGCCCACTGCGCCGCCACAAGGGAGGCGAAGTTGCCAAGTGCCAACGTGATCAGCTCCCGCTCCCCCATGACGCAACTGTGTTTTCCACAGAGTCCCTTTTCCTTTGATTGTTCCTTGCTACCTCTGATTCTCCGCCCGTGTGCAAGAAACCCTACACGTGCCGCAACTGCGTGAAGGGTCGGGGAGGAGAGTGATGGTGCGTCTACTGCGCGAGACAGTGAGAAAAAAGAAATCGCAAAACAAACAAGCACACACACACACACTCACACATACAGATGCTAGAAGTAGGCACCCGAAACGTGCGCGCGCGTTTGTGTGTGTTTGTGTGTTTTCTTTGTGTGGGCGTATGCATATGGATATGCGAACAGGGGAAACAGCCACCACGACAAGGACGGCACTTACACGCACATAAACAATGGACGAAAACAAACAAAAGGAAAAAAAAAAAAAA